CCTTTGAAATTGCTTCCTTAATTTGTCTTAATTGGTAGGTTAATTAGCAGATAAAGCTCGTTCAACATGTCACGTTCCAAGTCCAAATCCCAGCATATAAAATTCTAATTATATACTCATATATTCCTGTCAAAATGAATAAATAAATAAGAGAGGCAAATAAAAATAAAATTAATTTTCATGTTCTTGTCTATGTAGAATGGCACATACCTGAGAAATGGTCCAGGACAATGGCACATAGGGAACTACAATTTCCGGCACCTTTTCGACGGCTACGCCACCTTAGTCCGTCTTCATTTCGAAAACGGACGGCTAATAATGGGTCACAGGCAAATCGAATCGGAGGCATACAAAGCAGCAAAATACAACAACAAAATTTGTTACAGAGAATTTTCCGAAGTACCTAAGCCAGACAATTTCATATCGTACATTGGTGACATGGCCAAATTACTCTCCGGTGCGTCCCTAACCGATAACGCGAACACCGGAGTCGTTAAGCTCGGCGATGGCCGAGTTGTTTGCCTAACGGAGACAATAAAAGGATCAATCGTAATTGATCCGAACACACTTGACACAATAGGGAAATTCGAGTTTAGTGATTCGTTAGGCGGGTTGATACATTCGGCTCATCCAATTGTAACGGAGAGTGAGTTTTGGACGTTGATACCAGATTTGATAAATCCAGGATATTTGGTAGTGAGAATGGAACAAGGAACAAATGAGAGGAATTATATAGGGAGAGTGAGTTGTAGAGGAGGACCAGCAGCAGGATGGGTCCATTCGTTCCCAGTGACGGAACATTATATTATTGTGCCGGAAATGCCACTAAGGTATTGTGCCCAAAATTTATTAAAGGCTGAGCCCACACCACTTTACAAGTTTGAGTGGCACCCTCATTCCAAAGGTTTCATGCATGTTATGTGTAAAGCCAGTGGCAATATTGTAAGTACTCCTCTCACTATATTAGATTGAATATTTTTTTAGATGCTGTTTTTGAAATAGTTTTGGAAATTTCAAAAGGTGGCAAGTGTGGAAGTGCCATTATTTGTGACTTTCCATTTCATAAATGCATACGAGGAGAAAGATGAAGATGGCAGAGTTAGTGCTGTTATTGCAGACTGCTGTGAACATAGCGCCGACACCACCATCCTTGACAAGCTCCGGCTTGAGAATCTCCGGTCATTCAACGGCGAGGATGTCTTGCCCGATGCAAGGTACAATTACACAAACTTGACAAAGGCTTTCAATTTTGTTGTTGATAGCACTTTTAAACCGTCGGCGCTTTTCTATAAAGTTTAACTTTTATAGTGTAAAATAGTATTTATGATATCATATGTAATTTAAATCCAAAATAAATATACGTAAACTGTCCCTTAAAACTTAAAGTTAACAACTTAAAAAATAAAACAGATAACTCGCTACTACATATTTAAACGACGTTATAGTGTAAAATCCTTCACAGTTCACACTATATATTAGCATACGAGTAAATCTTTTTCTATATAGACAAAAGCACAGTATGTCGTCTTCTTGGGTCAAACAAGGAAGAAAAACGTCTTCAAAGTTTAATTTGCATGCATGGATAGCAACCGTTTTGAATTTAAATATTGTGCTAAGTCAAACATCCTAAAATCCAAGAAAGGTCTACGGGAAAGGGAATTTATTTGTTGTTTTCTCATGTACAATCCAAGTACCGTTGATGTCAAGAGGACTATCTTGACTCTTTCCTCTTTAACTCTTTTGAACGGAAGTAAAACTGGACTGTATTGTCCTGTTCTCTGGAGCACAAGTTTTGAAACTTTGAAGATACCTTTTTTTTTTTAATTGCCGTTTTGCACGTCAGTTGTATGTAAATTTTTATACTTTTTATTTATAAAATCAATATGAACCTTATTAGCGAAGATGATTGATGGACATATATCTTAACAATTGAAAACTCGTCAAGAGGTGTGATAGGATAGCTGAAATGGTTCAGACTCGAGTCTTGAATATGAAAAAGCCTTTTGGTAGGCAGTGTTGTATCACCTTACTGGATCACACGAATCTGAATTAGCCGGACTAATGGAACCAAATACCAGCAGGATGGCTGTCCAAAAGAAGAAGAAAACATCAAAAACAATATAATTGACAAATCATTACTGTGTTTCCAATTGCACCAGGGGTGTTCTTGACTAATGGTGTTTGTTGACAGGGTTGGGAGATTTAGAATCCCATTAGATGGGAGTCCATATGGAGAGTTAGAAGCAGCATTGAACCCAAATGAACATGGGAGAGGCATGGATATGTGCAGCTTTAATCCTTCTTATTTAGGCAAGAAATATAGATATGCTTATGCTTGTGGTGCTAAGAGGCCTTGTAATTTCCCCAACACTCTTACAAAGGTCACTTCATTCTCTTCTTTTTCCTTAATTTTCTCCACCTAGTAGTGCTTACAACTGTTAATTTTTTTATCTATTATTTCAAACGATAACTGATTTTAATGACTCAAAATATTTTGCAGATTGACTTGTTTGAGAAAAAGGCAAAGAATTGGTACGATGAGGGTGCTGTGCCTTCTGAACCATTCTTTGTGCCTCGACCTGGTGCAACCGAGGAAGACGACGGTAATTATTTTATCAATACATCTATTTATAATAAACCCAAACCCAATGTGGTTCAGCATATTTTCCTGGATCCCACAGCTTTGTGAAAGTGAATACCGTAGTCTAAGCCTAATAAAACGAAACAAAAAACAACAGAACAGGCAATTGAATTGCAACATATATATTAACAAGGTGTAATATTCTGGAAATATGCAGGAGTTGTAATCTCAATGATCAGTGACAAAAATGGAGAAGGTTATGCTCTAATATTGGACGGATCCACATTTGAAGAAATTGCACGAGCAAAGTTTCCTTATGGTCTTCCCTATGGACTGCATGGTTGTTGGGTTCCAAAGAAATAGAACCACCCCCCACATCCTAGACAGTGTTATATGATAGCCAAATACACCTTACAAGTCATATAATAAGATATTACATTTTCCACCTCTTGAATAGCTAATGTAGTATTTTATGCATATTAATGATACATGAGTACTATGATTGCATATATATATTCTCTGCAATGATCATTTATCAGTAATACACATATGAACCTTTAATTAAGACATCAAGATTCAATAAGGAAAGGAAAAGTCTTTACTGTCTCTTTTGAAATTGAGGATTTGTAATCACTTCTGTCATTTTATCAATTCAAACTAACATCATAATCCACTAAGCCAGCATCGGTTCAAGTTGTTTTCCATATCGAAGTAATAAAAGTTGAATTTCATAACAGAAAGTGGTCTTTTTTATAAAACACAAAAGTTTGGGGCAATTATTGAAATTTTTTTAAAAACCAAACGACAATATTTTGGGCCAAAAATAGCTCTTGAGCTGGTTTTGGGATTTGGAAAATTGCCAAAATATGGATAAAATCTATAAACAAGCATGTATTTGCCAAAACAAATTTGAAAAAAATTCAGCAAAATCTATGGCCAAACGGGTGCTTAGGGTGTGTTTGGCATGAAGGCGGAAAATGTTTTTCCAATTTTCCCATGTTTGATTTTCCTCGTGAACTAGCTCATTTTCCTCCAATTGAAGGAAAATATTTTCCCTATCAAGAGGGGAAAATATTTTCCAAAATTTCTTTTCAACCTTTCCCACCATATTCTCCGCCCCCACCAACGCCCTCTCCCATCAAACCCACCCACCCACCAACCTCATCCTAAATAGAAATATTATTAAGAGAACTTTCTTTTCATGTTATAGATAGAATACTTTCTTTTTCATTTCAACAAAATGAATATTTTCTTTTCATGATATAGAAAAAGTGTTTTATATCATTTCAACAAAACGAATACTTTCTTTTTATGATGTAGAAAAAGTATTTTGAGTATTTATGTAGAAAAAATATTTTCTTTCATTTCAACAAAATGAGTACTTTCTTTTCATGTTATAGAAAGAGTAGTTTCTTTTTCAACAACAAAAAAAAGTATTATCTTTTTAGTTATGTAGCTCAAATTTCAATGATATTCTTGTGTGAAAAAGTAAAGCAGCACATTAGTTCCTTTGGGTTTGTGTGAATTTCAAAAGAATAATTAAATTTTTGAATAAAAAATAGAGTCCTGAAAACGTTGGGTATTGGGGGGAGGGGTTGAGGAGAGTAGCATAAAAAAATTTTTTCTTACTCTCTAACCAAACACTAGAAAATATTTTCCGGAAAAATATTTTTACTCACCAACCAAACAAGAGAAAATAAGTGATAAAACCACTCATTTTTCAGGAAATTCCTACCAAACAACCCCTAATGCACTAAACCAGAAGCTTCAATACTCATTTCAAATACATATATGAGATCTAATAAGAACCTCCATCTCTAGAAACAAATCTCTAAAGGGGTATTCTGTAACACAGGAATCAAATGTTAATAAAATACTTCTGCAGCAGAAATTGGAAAATTGGATATTAACTAAAACATAGCAAGGATCAGGTTAGTCTTTCTCACAATCAAGGTAAAGAACAAGAAATTTGATAGATCCAATTCAAGTAAAACATAATACAAATATCTCTTCAACTCAGTTCTTACTTTCAGTTGCTCAAGCTAAAGAATTTACAGTGAGATTTATCATACTGATAAAGAGAGAGCTACAGAATATTATTGGCAATGACTTCAAACTTCAGATGATCTCTTTCAAGGGACAGTTGTAACATGGTGAAGCACATCCATTTTACAGATAAAAGGAATAAAGGGGGAACAAAAACGGTAACATAATTTTGGGTTAACATGTATAAAAAATGGAATCTACGGATCCGTTCTATCATTTAAAAGATCAAACCCTATGAGAAATTCGGGCCAAACCATGATATGAGTTCCTGAGTTGAGAAAATCGGCATATTCTTTGTGGAAGTAAGACAGATAGGGTGCCAGGCTTAGATTTGCTTGTGACTCCAGGATTCTACAGTTGCGAATATATGTTGCTACCACTCTGCAACAGCCTCAACAACCAGTTGTTAGGCGCAGCCACTGTTAAGTGGCAAAATAAGCTAATACTTTTGTTCCGTATACACAGCATCAACATCATCAAGTTCAAGTAATTTGGACATGAGTTCTTTGTTCAAGTCCATAGCCTCATCATCTACCTGCAGCCGAAAACCAAAGTAATAACTACAACAAGCAGAAATATCGACTGTTATAATTGAAAACATAAAGTTCAGCGTTTAACATAAATGATAGTTGAAGCACTTGAACTGCATTAATTCAAACCGAAAATCCAAGTTGCAGATAAAAGGTCCAAGTAGTAAGACCTTCTAAGAAGCTAAATCAGATCATATTAGAGATTTTGTAAGATAACAGAAAAAAGAATGAACTACTCTATTCTTATACCCCATGTATAGCTGATCAACCGCTTGCACAAACGCGATCGGTCTCAAATGGTGAAAACCAGCCAAGCCGACCCAAATACTTCATGGGCTAAGGCTGGCTCAAGTAAATCACTCAAGACTTACCGGCTACCTATGTTGGTGGGAGGTGGTAGTTACCAAGTAGAACAGTCGAGGTGCATACAAGCTGGCCCGAACACTACCGTTGTAAAAAAAGAAATCAGTCCAGACTCGAGTTAGGAGCTCAAGCTCAGCTAGCACATATTAGAAGGAGCATTTGGATCGCTCAATCAAGCTCGAAAAGGATGAAACTTCAGAATGCAACTATCGCCCCCACCAACTCCAAAGATCCATACCATAAACAAATGTTTAAAAATTAAGAATGGCAAAGCTCCTAAAAATAACAATACACAATTGAATTTCAGATAGCAAAGCAACAATCAGAGAAGCAACGGCTAAAGAAATAGTGAGAAGGGAAAATGGAGACAGATGAACCGGAAGCAGATTCAAAGAGGCAAAATGCTGATCGGTGCAGCTGGTGTTGTTCAGCAACAGCACCAGCAGTGTAGCCTGTTAAAGTTAAGCAAACATGAGGTGCTTTGTTTTGATTCGAGAAAGAGGGAGAGAGAGGATTGGGGGGGGAGGGGATGTCACTCTACAGATTAGTTGAGCTGGGCAAAGAGATTTCTTCTTTACATTTATGATTTTTCTTTTTCAGGTAGATAGTATTAGAAATTTGTAAGAGGCAACAGACATATACTACGACACACATTTTAGTCGTTCAGTTTTCTCTAATTGTTACGTAATAAAGTTTGACGTGGTTCCCATCTACTTCGTCATAAGCCAGCACCTCAAACTCCACCAACAGATGGTGCATTTTTTGTCTAAAACCATGCAATGATAAGTTGGATAATCCATAATGCGAAAAAACTTGTTTCCGAGTTCAAAAAGTACCCATTAACAAAGGTAGGGTCATATAAGACCGAAAGCACCATCAGAAATGCCCTTCCCTATTAATACCTTCAATTGTCAAGGTTACACACCTATAGGCTTGTGCATATGTAAGACATGATAAAACCATCTCAAGCAACCTTCGGTCATTCTATCCTCTGTATATGCTACTTGCACGTTCTGGAAGATGTGATTATTTCTGATCGTATCTAATAATGTATGACCGCATCCATCTTACCATATGCATTTCTGTGACACTCATCTTGTGCATATGTAGGACTTTAGAAGCCTAACATTCATTTCCATATAACTTTGCTAGTCTTACAACCATTCTATAAAACTTGTATTTCACTTTGCCAGGTATCCCCATATCACATAACACTCTGATAGCACTTCTCCAGCTCAACTCATATTTTAATTCAATTGTGCTACATCTTCATCTATCATATCATTCTCTCGGGACATCGAGTTTAGATATCTGAATTGTTTGCATAAAGACATAACAAACCATCTAATCTCACCTAAACTTCTCTCTTATACTGGCTAAACTGGCACTATATATATTATGTCTTACTTCTACTTATCTTAAAACTCTTACTATCCAAAGTGATTCTCTATGGTTCAAACTTTTGATCGGCACCGTTGTTAGTTTCGTCAATTAACATAACATCGTCTGCAAATAATACATACCATGAGAATTACGTCTTGTATATTGTTGGTTTGGTCTTCCATAACTAGAGTAAACAAGTAGGTACTCAATGCAATCGATGGTGTAAGCTCACATTTATCAGAAACTCTTTGTATCTCTAGCATTCGTTCTAACACATTTGTGATGGCTCCTTCGCATATCACCTTTTCAGCGCATATATACATTGGATCTGATTGCTTTCTTTCCGATATCCATCAAAGGATTTTTCTTAGCACTCTATCATACACCTTCTGTAGGTTAAAGAATATTTTACATAGATCCCTCTTCCTCTCCCTATAAATTTTCATCTATCTTCTATGCAAAAATCCACATTGGTTCACTGTAACTCTTGTAATTTCTCTATGTCTATGCTCTATCATTCTTTCCCAAAGTTCCACTGTATGACTCATAAGTTTATTGCCACAATGTTTGTACAACTTTAAATATCTCCTCTATTCTTTACATTGGAATCATGGTATCCTCTATTCTTTACATTGGAATCATGGTATTCTTTCTCCACTCATTTACCATCTTTCAACTCTTTAAAACAACGTTGAATAGTTTGGTAAGACGTACTACTCCAACCATTCCAACAATGTTTTTATAAAGGCGAAATACATAAACGACCCCTTTAAGCTGTCCTCAACGATCAGATGGACACCTCAATTGACCCCTTTACTATTTAGACACTTCAAATGGCTATTAAGTATATCAAGTAAACACCCGAGTGGAGCAGAACATATGCGTGAGTTACACTTGCCAATGATGTGTCAAATAAATCAATTAAAGAATGACACGTGTAATTTATAATTAAAATATTTGACACGTGTAATTAACAAGAAAAAAAGACCTATTTCCTTATTTTGAACTAGACCATCGC